TTTTCTAATAATTCTTTTTTTTGTATTTTATGAAAGCTAAATATGTAATAGATGATAAATTAAAAGAAAGAAAACAAAAAAAAAAAGGTCATTCCTAAGAATCCTAACACTCAGAAAGGCAGTGTGGTACAGTGTGCAGGGACAGGCTGACCTCATGGCATTCTAGCTCTTCCACATAAAGTCATGTGAAGAAGCGACTTAAATACTATGTCGCAAGACCTCACACATGGTGACATCTGCATCTCAGGATCCTTGGGAAAAATTCAACACTGGCTTTGGCATCAAAGAACCCAGAGTTTCTTCAACTATACAATACTCATAATAATATCAGTGTCACAGGGAGGTGCAAGGATTAGATAACTTGGGTAGAATCTATTCAGCCTCTAACAAACCCTTAAAGTTAGCAGTTTTTATCATTATTTAAAGTTTCTTATGCATAGTAGGTACTTAACAAAATTACTCTTCATTTTCATTTTCTCATTTATGTAGAGCCTCATGGCCTTAGTTCTGAGTGACGCCTCAGCCTGACCATACCATATAGAGATGCTCCTCAGAATGATCCGAATCCTGGTGGACCCCATCAATAGGGCCCATTTTCTTTGCCAGTGGACATTTCTTCTTTTCTATTTATACCTGAGAACATCCTCCTCTTTTCTATTTATACCTGAGAACATCCTTAATGCTTATCTGTGCATTAAATAATATAATTCTGGGAGTACTTATTGACTGTCATATGACAGGAATACATAGAACAATTTCAAGTAATGGAGGATATGTGGAAGAGAGATCCTCCTACATCTTCTTTCACAAATTGCTAAACATAATGACTTCTTCATGCCATCTCTTTGGGGAAAAACAATTACTTGAGAGCATAACTGGAATAGATTTTTAAAAGACCCTCCAAAGCTTCTACATCACTTTTGAGTTTACAAAATGCTGTGATCTATCTTGATTCTGACAAACTATGGGCAGAACCTTTTATTCCGATGTCACTGATAAATGAGGTTGAGAAATTAAATGGTTGTTCAAACATATATTTCTCATGAAGGTATACCTTACACTTGAAGCCTGTGCTTTAATTTGTAAAAATCTGTGTAGACAATACAGATGAAGCAAGTTACATTTTTTTAAAAAAAGGAGAAGAATATTTCAGGAGAATGTCTCAGAAAAAATAGTTTTGATATATAAAAAAACTTTACATCATGAATACAAACCTTTGTGAGAGAAATACAATGGCCAACTAAGAATGAATATATGGATGGCATGTGGGTAGGGGAAAAAATGATGTACATCCAAAAATACAGAAGAGTATTAGGAAAAAATGTTCAAAGGACAAAGCTTGTGTCTAAGGCATAACAAGATTCAAAACCCACAGACACAAATGAAAAGGGAAAAAAAAAAAAAAGATGACAGACAGACATTCCTAAATGGCCCTAGGCTTAGAGAGAAGCAGCCTTTGAGGATGTGGGACAAACTCCAAGAGAGCCCCAGCAGGCACCTTCAGCAGCGAACTAACCCCCTCTTGGCCCAGTTAACCATTACTACCCTGGAGAGCTCCAGAGGGGAAGGGAAGATTGTACTGTCAGAGGAATTTCTCCAGCTGCTACAAGATCTGTGCAATCTCATCAGCTCAGTCTTTGATCCCTGATAAGAGGTCAGTACCTTTCCAAGGGCAGTGCCCCAAATGTTCTCAGTCATTTAGACCTTGGTGTGGATGAACTGTAGGTCCTGACTTGAAAGGAGATTTTACCAGCAAGGGGAAACAGGCAGGGCACTGGGAAATCAGAGGGAGTAGGAAGAGAGTGCACCTTCTCAATGAAAGTCACCACTGTGCAAAGGCAGATGGTGCCTTTCCATGATTTCCCCCATGATTAGTCAACCAGTTCACCTTTTTTGAATATTAGTGCATTCTACTGAAAATGTATATATGGGATATATGTGTGCATGCAGACACAATAGATAGTGGCAATACTAAACATCACTGCCAGCATTTATTGACATTTTATCATATGCTAAGCACTGTACTTTAGGTTCACTACCCCCATTTAATCTTTATAGCCATCCTATAGGGGTGAGTGAGATGACTCCTCATTTCACAGATGAAGAAGCAGCCGTAGAAACTTTACACAGCTAATAAGCAGCAGAGCAGAAACTCAAAACAGTTAAGCCAATTCCAGTTTAAACACTACATCTGTGCACCAAAAAAGTTGTAATAATTTTTTCATACCTAACTACATACACACACAGTATTCTAGACGCCATTAAGAAAAGCAGAGCCCCAGATCCCCTGAGTTGTTAGTTTTCTGGTTTAACACACACCAAGTACACAAAAGATAGACTAAGAATGGGAAAAAATACAAGCAGCACTTCATATTCAGGAAAGAGAAGAAATGAGGTGGAGGGAGTGGAAATGGAAGTAAAATCTTAAAGTGCGGGAACATCTGTCAAAGGCAGAAATGGAAAACTAAGAAGAACTTTTCATAGCTCTACAAAAAGCAAGCAATGAAAATGTAACCTTCTTAAGCCTGAAAGAACTGCTCTAAGTTCAACAAAAATCTTCAAATTATAATAGAGCTTCCTTCTACATTCTAGCTGACCATCATTTGACTACCTCTGGATAGAGAAATGTGTGCAATATCAAATTCTTGTGGTAATTTACAGTTCACCTATCTATTGCCAATTCATGTGCCAATTCATGCCACAACCATGTACTTCTAGAATATGTGAGTCTGTTGGGGAAAGGGGATTAAATAGAGCCTGGTACATGACAGAAGCTCACTAAATGTTCTCCCAGAGCCATGAAAGGGCAAACATGGCACACACATCTCAAATATCAACTTGACTCAAGGGTAAATCAATTAAGACTTTTTAAAATAATAAAGTGATAATGAGACATAATATAAGAGAATGCAAAATGTGAGTGAATTTCTAAGCTGAAACCCAAAGCTCCAAATTAAAAGTGGTCTTGCTTTGTTATCTCCATGAGGCAACACCCCAGACCCTGAAGAATCTTTATTCTCTCTTTTCCATCATTCCTATTAGTTGGATAATGTGGATAAGTTTGGACACAGATGCACATTTCAAGGTGTGTATGTAGGTATTTGACTTGGATGATGGATCACTGACCTTCATATGTAAAAATCAATGTGGTATAAAGAAAAGAGTTCTCTTTTAAAGGAACTTTAAAGAGAAATGGCACATCTTCTTTTTAGCTGCAAGGGCATCACAGCCTAGCAAACCCCTAACAGCCACAGTACTAAAGGATGATGGCCTCCTCCTCTTGCTCCTCATAACAGTTATGCTGTGATTGACTTTTTATGCAACTCTATGATCCAAAAGCAAAAGAAAGATGTCTTAGTCTCTAGCATTTTTCATTTAACAAATTAATTAATGAAATTAAGAATCATATGTGTGCTTCCCAAAGCCTGCCCTTATATGTGACTCTTCTATAAAAATGCTTTGAAATTCAAAAAGCTCAGCAAATGTGAGGCCTCATGCTATGGACAATGAGGAGGCTACACTACAGTGCAGCTGAAGAAACCCTGTCCAATGACTGAATGAAATAGGCTGAATCCACAGCTTTGCTGCTATAGTTAAGCAGAGAAGTAACTTTGGAATATTTTGAGTTTATTGATCTTGGATCTTTCTTTAGAAAATAAATGAGTATCCAAGGTTCCTGTGGACACCAAGGAACATTTATAAATAGAAAACCTTTGTCAAACTGGAAAAATTGGATAAAAAAAATTATCTAATTGCTAAAACAGAAGGGACCATATGTCCTTAAGAAGATTCCAGGGATTGTTTTGATGTGGGCATCTATTGGCCTTTAAGCCTTCAAATTTTTCTTAAAACTTCAAAGAAAAAGTGGTTTCATTTTTCTACCTCATCCTCTGGTAAAGTTTGATGCAAGCTGATAACTCATTTCTATAGAATGGCCATAAAACGTGAGCAAAACACACCAGAGTTATGCTCCATGGTAAGATGGCACATACACAGGCTCTACCTCCAGTGAAAGAAGGGGCTTTGTGAAATTTATTTCAATAGATGTCCATGTGGACATCAGCTAAGATACATTTTGATTCATTCATGAAATGAGTTATGGTATTAGCACAGTGATCTGATGTATCTCAGAACTTTAGTCTTCCCACAATAAATGTAACTGTACTACATTCATTCATCCTAGATGACTCCCGTATAGGGATCCAAGCTTCCTTAAAAATATATTCAATATGAATGCAAACTGATATTACTCATCCCAATTTCATCATTTTCAGGGGAAACTCCCTCCAGAGACACATCCCACAGTCCACTGCTGTTCACGAGATTTAATGCCTTTCCCCCACCATGGCAACCCCAAGCTTTCATCCATATGGACTAAAGAAAAATGCATCCAATGTGGTAGAACAAAAGATCAAAAGGTCGAGGATCAAACAGTGATGTGATTTATAACATTTGCTTGATTGAGTGGATTTCATTCAGGGTGTAAGAAGGTTTAGGCTTACCACTTAGGAAATCAGTAATCATATTAATGGAACTCAGTAAAATTAAGTCTCAATTTCTTGTTCTAATAGAAGAAAAGCAGGACATGTAAAATGTATCATTTGAGGAACCTCACAAATACATATATTTAATTGGAATTTTTACCTTGCATATGTGGTTTCTAATAACCCAGGGGTTACTATTAAAAAATGAAATACAAAATAAATAAATAAAATGATTTGGAATTCTCCCACTACATTCTGTAGGCTGTAGTAGGAAGCAGCCCAATAACATGCTGAGTAGAAGGGGACACCTATTTGAGTTGACAAAATCCACCACAGTAATCCTCAAAAGTGAAATTTCTGCATCCTATAATCAGGAGTTGTTGGGCAGTTGATTAAGTACCCCAGGCATTTGATCCCCAACCTACTTTCATTTCTCCCCGCAGCTGGCAAACAAGAGAAATTAGACCAAGAACCTCAAGAAACCAAGTGTGTATTTTAATACAGAAATGCTTTCACCTGCTGTCCCACTGAGAACGAAATGGGCCGGGCTTTCAAAACGTTAGTCAGCTTAACTCCCAGTCGGTGGCACTGGGAAAATGGAGCCAGGCGGTCTGACTGCTGCTGCTGTCCTTTAACTGCCAACTGGAACACAAGAGAGGAGCCCAGGGGAAACAGAAGAGAGATGGATCTAGAAAGAACCGGAGGATTACATGCAGAAGCAAGCAAAGAAAACACTAATGAGTCAAAGACACCGTGCCCGTCAAAATTGGCATCTCAGACAATTCTCACGGAAGATAAATATGCCTCAATTAGTTGCCATTTTCCCCTCAGATATTCATATTTCATAAAACACAAATTATCTCGTAGATACCTATCTTTGCAATATTTCAGGAAAATCATAAGATCTGCTTACCCTAAGATCAGAAGTATTGTAAGTACATATTATTGGATAATATGTATTTCAGTTCAAATGTACAGGGTAGCAATGTTGAAAACACTAATGTTTTTGAACTACAAAGAGAGTACCTCCATTTGGATGGATTACGGTACATATACCAAACAAAAAGGCCGTCTATTGAGCATAAGCGTAGTGTGTCCACAGTCACCTTACTGACGGGTTCCTCTAGCATCTTGCCATTCATTGGCTTTTGTCCTTTTTTCTTCCCATGCAGACATTATATTATCACAACCATAAACACAAGGCTGCCACTTACCACAAAAGTCTTTATTTCCCCTTTTACTTTAGGAAACTTGAATGTATGCTATTGTCTTTGGTTTATTCATATTTAAGAATTCACACATCAGAAGTTACACCTTGCAAGGATTAGAAAGCACGCTTTGACCCTCAAAAGAATTATAATGAATAAAATTTATATTTTATTTAAATACATTGCGTTACATATTGAGTTATAGTTTTCTAAGCTTCAAAGGATAAAAAGAATTAAGAAATTGATTTATATACAAATAAATCATTATATATAGCCCAGCTTCAAACATTTCAAATTGGTCACAGTTTAGACAATGGATATGAACCATGTTATTGCATTTCTCTGTATCACATTGAAAGACATACACTTCCTTGGAAATGGAATAATGATAAAATGAAATGTAGTCTCATGGAATGTAAAAAAAAAAAAATCTTACCTCATCAGATGGGAAATCCAAAATCTTGCACTTTCCAATTATTTTATTAATAATGCAGTAGCATCTTCATAACACATAGCACTTGTTTACAGAACATTGTCTTTGGGTCAGAGTCAGGGTATTAACTGGTGATCCAGAGTATAAATTGTAAACAAGTTTTGTTGTCTCAGCCAGTGTGAAAAATCCAGGTGAAGGAAAAAAGAATGAGAATTTTCCACTGTCCAAGAAAAAGAAAAAAACAATCCTAAGGTCATTGTATGCATTGCCATGAACTTACTAGCAAATTTTATTTTTTAACTTTCTTATGATCAACTTCTGATCTGAGGATTACTATAACTCAAATTATATCTATCTCTCTAGATAGAGCAAAGTAGTAATTCAGTAATTTTCTACTTTAAAACCTGAATTATCTTCCTTAATCATCTACCCTGATCAAATTCATTATAAAAAAATGACCAATTTACCACCTCACTTTACATGAGGAAAACAATACTACAGAATGTGGGTCCCGGGGTAGAAAAACCAAATACTACCTAGGGACAGATGAGTATGCTATAGCATGTGTAAGTAACTTAAATTGCTCCAATTATTCTTTTGATCATAAAACAGTTCTATACCCTCCATGATGGTTTGCAAGACTATTCGCATTCAAGCACGATCCATTAGCATATAACATTGACTACCTTCTGGGAGCCAACTGACAATCAATCTCGTACCTTGTAGAGAGATGGAATAGCACAGGTCTCATAATAGGATGAGAGATGCAGGAAATGTTCTTCAGCTGACTTCCCATGGGACTTATACTTTCCAACCTAGGAACACTGTCTGCCTACATGGATGGAATGCTAAGCCATGCAGTCAGATGATCCATGCACTAGGTACAGTTTTGCAGCTCTGAAAAACCTAGAAGAAGCTGTAAAATAAGTCCACAAACATGCAAGTACAAAATTACAGGGCAAAATAGCTGGAAAATTATATAGGTCAAATCGGGAAGGTTAGTGATACACTCATACTTTTAAGTGAGCTCTGTAAATAAACTGTGTGTTTTTCCCAGAAACTAGTTTGAGAGACTAATTTATATGGTATAGCTCAGGTATGCTACAGGGAAGTTATTGAGTCTGAATTATGGATAAAGCATCAGTCCTAAAGAATCATTTTGTTTCCCCCAAAAGTACCCAAGAAAATTTAAAATAAAAATAGCAATCTAAGAAAAATAAATAATGGTAAATGCTCAAATTTGAATTACATTACCTCATTTATTTGGAAAAATTATTACTAGCTTTTCAAGATATAGTTTCCAATCACACTTGTTTCCAATCTAAATTTAGCCCCTGTTCCTTGTGTCATATTTCTTCAGGCATGAGAAGGAAAATCAATGCCCCTACTCACCTTTGGAAGAATTTCACTGCCAAGTCTCCATGGTTCTATGGGATCCAATAATCCGTGGCTCAGTATTGATTTTTCTATAACACCTGTAGAAACAGCCTCTCCTTCCTTTATAACAAAATATAGCAACAAAAATCGTCTTGTTTCTAAATGAATTAAGCATAGGCTATTAAGCACAACTTCATCCTGTAAGGAAATGCAGTTTATAATTTCTGAAGACGTTAACGTGGATTGTTTTTTTCTGAGCCACTTAACTACTGTTTCAAAGACCGTGTGAAAATATATTTTTAAAACATGATTCAAATGTAGTTTCCTTAGGTTTCTTGCAGCTAACTTATACAGCTAGTATTCATTTTTCCTAAGGAAATCAGCAAATGGTAAAACCTATCAAAGTTTAAGTCCCAATCTTAAAGTATCTCCAAAATCAAAATCCTTTCCAAATATGAAAACCACAATCATGATTTTAAAATTAAAACTTGGTGATATAGAGGTACTTGGAGGGACTTGATTAGAATATATCAAAACCTAGGAGAGACGGTGGGTTAGATGTGGGAGCGTGGGTGCGGGGAGTCAATACTGGAGATTGAATCTAGGGGTGCTCTCTCTGTTACTCTCCTCCTCCCCCCCCTCCTCCTCCTCCTCCTCTTCCTCCTCCTTCTCTTCCTCCTCCTTCTCTTCCTCCTCCTCCTTCTCCTTCTTTTTTTAAATTTTGAGACAGGTTCTGGCTAAGTTACCCAGACTGGCTTCAAATTTGCAATCCTCCTGCCTCAGTCTCCTGAGTCTAGGGGTATGTTTTATTGCATTAAAAGTATTGAAAGAACAGGCAAAGAGCCGCCCATTTTCCCACCTTCCTTGACAGAAATAAATGCAAAAACAAAAATCAAATAAAAAAAACAGCCACCACAAAGTCAAGTTCCCAGCATCCTCCACACACCTGATTTAAACCTCAAAGGTATTTGTTTCACCCTGGGAAGACTTCTTTGGGCATGTCTGAATATATCCCCTGCAGTCATTCTGCGTTGAGTGAAGCAGCTACAGTTGGGAACCCACTTCATCACCTACTCCATCAGTATGAGAATCTGCAAAACAAAAATGTAGTGTTAAAAGAAAAAATTCCTTTTACATTTGCTTTCCCCAGTAAAAATCCTAGGGAAGAAAACACAATATATGTGACATCTTGGTTAAGTGACACGCTGCACTCTGACAGGTTTGGTGTTAATACCTGACAGCTAGAAACCTGCCAGAACCACCTCCCTGCCACAGATACTTAAGCTCACGTGAAAACTTTGATTTGATAGTCTCTTGATTAGCTTTTGCAACAGCGAGTACTACTGCCTTTCAAGTTCATTATAAATTATGCTACTCTTCACATTACTGTCAATTTAGGCTTCCATTTTACTAGAAAGCAGGCGTTTTAACCATTCATCAAACCTGTGCACGTTTTTGAGTTAAAGAATTAGATCAATCCGAACTCCAGTTCTCAAGGGAGAAGTTCCATTGTTCATCAGGCCATGTCTACACTGGCTGAGCAAAGCGCTCTGTTCAGAAGGAGAAGCGCCTTTGGCAGCTAGAGTCCACATAGCTGACCCATGGACGCTCGGGTGGAGCTGCTTCACCTAATTACACAGGTGCAAGGACATTACCAAGCATTTAATGAAAACAACCCATGACGAAAAAGCACAAGGCGATTGCTGTTCTGAGGTATCTACACGAGTCACTTAGCACGCAACTCCAAGAAAAACATGTACATTTCGCAAGGATGACGGTGGATATGGGTATTGAAGTCACTGATGACTCAACCTTCAGTTTAACCTGACATTGTTCCTAAACAACAGAGTGGTGGCACTATTTTAAAATGCGATACTTTTTTTTCCTAACTGGTCTAGGTTAGGTTTACAACCCTACTCATATGAATGGTGAAAAATCAAAGCTTTAGAGTTCAAATATTAGAAAAGATAGTTTCTATCTCAAAAGGGAAGGTAATCTATATTTTGGAGGGAATATTTACACTCCTCTGATTTGCGCTGTCCAGGTTGAGTACCAGTTATGGGCAGATTCTATTCTGGTGACAGTACAGTGCTCTCGAATCATCCTGAACATTGAGATTCTTTCAACCAATTTTTACAATAAAAAGAGCTTTAGCAGAAATGTTCTACTAATAGCTATGAAATTATAGGCTTCCCCTTCCATCCACCCAAACAGGCTCCACCCTGTGCAATAACAGATACAACACTAATCACCTTTGGAATGTTGCCAGCCTCCCCCATTGGTGAGCTGGCAGAGTTGGACCAAGCTGCCTTGAAGGAATAAAGCCTGCCTTAACACCGTCTGCACCCGCAAAAGGCTTCAAGAGAAGCCAATCAGATTCTTTGAAAAGAGCAGGAGTGAAGATTGAGATGTGTGGGAATCTATCAGAACTGCAATCTACAAGATACACCCACTACTACCAATATCACCCCAAGATAAATCAGCAAGATCAAACTCTACACCCCAGGCTCCCTAATCACTTGTGCTTTACAAACAGAACTATCTCTTTATCTTCTGACATCTCTAGTTTCAGATTTTTCAAGATAAGTTTCCAGTCTCTCTGTTTCAGTTTGATAATCATATAATTTATATGTTAAATCCCCTTCTGCTGGGTGTACAATTCTGACTTCAGACTCTCACAGCACCACATTGGTTGATTAGCTTTTAAATTACCCCCCAAATTATAAAGCAAAAGAATTCCAGGTGATAGAAGAATTGCTTTATTTACCAAAATTCATGTAAGATGAGTGGAATCTTATATCTTCTTTTCTCATATGGAAACCCTGAGTACATTGAACTACATAAAACCACTGTCAGTATCTTTGCCACCGTTTCAAGCACCTCACCATGATGAGGATGCTGTAGAGACTGCCAACTATATACCTTTAGCTATGGTACTTAATTATACAGCAGGCACTGTTCCAAATCTCTGTAAATGTGAACTCATTCAATCCCATAATAACCCTGTAAGAGAGGTATTGTTACCTTCATTTTTGCAGATGAGGAAACAGAATCACAGACAGAGCAAATAATTTGCCCTGGATCACGTGGCTAGTAAGAGGAACAGCTGGGATTTGAATGCAGAGGCTCTCCAGAATCTCTATCCTTGCGTTGTATGGCAATGTGCCTTCTGATAAAACCAAACTGATACAACATGATGCATAGAGATTTAAATGAAAAGGTGGTGTCTCTACACTGGTGTTTTCCTTCCCGTCTGAGTGAAATCAATATCCCTGGAATGAAACTTTGCTCTGTGTTGAACTGTTCTGCCCACCAGGCTCATTTATCTATTTCTCATTTCCTGGCATTTTCTTTTATATTGAACCAGTGTCTCCTTCTTTCAGATTAAGTTAAATACATTTGGAAAAGAAAATATATTCATGAGCATCATTTCAGGGTATCATTCATACCTTTAACATTCAAATTTAAGATGTTCATGCATGTGAAGAATATCAAAGAAGAGCTATAGGAATGAATACTGAGGACAGTATGTACCCAAATGTAGTCTTAAGGCTCCCTGAGGCCAAACCTTGATGTTGCCTTTCGAAAACTGAATCATGATTTTATTTCCCTATGACTTAGTTTCTTTGTCTGTAAAATGGAAATAAAATAGTTCTACTGATTAGGGTTCCAAGGATTAAATAAATCAATCTATACCAAATGCTTAAAGCAGTACATGGCACACAGCAAGCCCTTGATAAATATATGCTACTATTAATTTCACATTTAGTTTATGTAGACTTGCCTCCCTTAGAACTAAACATCACCAATTAAAATTGTCATTGTGGTATGAAAGTATTTAATACTGATTTGAGAAAAAAAAAAACAGTCATGGTCATAGGAAATCCTTCCAGCATAGGAACAACTTGGTTCTAGATTTTTTACTCTCACACATCTTTACACATAGTTTTCTTCCTCTTTATTTTGCAAGAACATAAACAAATCACAGAATCTGACAGAACCACCCAAGAAGTCATCTGAGGTTATGATGTTGTCAAATCCTCACCTAACAAGCTTTTTTCCATAGAGTAAGGTTTTAAGTGACATAAAAAGATTGCTGGCTTAATTGTTTTTTATACCATAATCCAGGTTTCTCAATTATGCAAATCCAATTGACCTGGATAGCAGTGAAGTGATTTTAACAACTGTGTAACTCAATAATGGGAAAACTGTCTGAACATTTTGCTTATCTGTTTCTTCCTTTGCTCTCTTCGCCTCTTCAAGATTCTAAATGCTTACTTAGGCTTATGCTGAAGTCTCAACTCTTTGAGGCTAGCACGGGTGACTTAACTGCTTGGGAACCCAAAATAGAAATTTCCATCCCAGAGGGGAAGTACTACAAGTAAGAGGAGAAAATGACTGGCTGGACTCTCACTTGCACATAGCTCTTTGGTAAGTACCATACAAAAGAAACAGAACAGATTGAAATTTTTTTCCTCTTCAGTTCTAAAATGGACATCATCAGGGTTGGGGCTGGGGCTTAGCAGTAGAGCACTTGCTCAGCATGCACAAGGCCCTGGGTTCAATCCTCAGCACCAAAACAAAACAAAACAAAACAAAACAAAATAAAATGGACATGATCAACAGAGCATGAAAAGCCAAGAGACTCAGAAGGGCAACCACAGAGAAGCTATTCCAGGTCAATTCCCCAGGATGCGCTGAGGTGCCTTTTTGTGGACTGGGTATCACAGGGACTGGAGAACCACTTAAAGGTCCCCAAGGGGCTAGCAGTGAAAGGACCCTGTTTCATTTCCTGGAACCTCTTAGACCAGACTTTCTGTTGGCAATTGAGGGAAGATAAGTCTTGATGTACCAAATAGCACCTTGGTGAAGAACTGGAGAGGGGGAGACCCCTCTACCCTTGGTGAAGAACTAAAGGGTTGGTGTGCAGCCTCCTTTGAGATAAGGAGAGTAGACAAGAAAAGGATTGGTGAGACAAGGCACACAAAGTCTCCATTTTAATCCTACAGCTGCATCTGCACAAATTCATCTCCATCCACATCCAGGCCTCCCCTCAGACCGTAGGGATTCTATGAACTCATAGACCAAAGACTCTCATTCTGAACCAAGATCTCAGCAGTACTCAGCCTCTAGTTGTCTAGATGAGAATGGTGTATTCCAGAGAGAGCCATCTGCCAAAGGTCACACAGAGCAGTTCTAGGGCTCAAGCCCAAGGACGGTAGAAGGTGGTTGATGTGTTAGAAAGAAATTAGATACCCTGAGAGTAATTCAATTTCTCGAAGAAAAATGGAAAGCCCAGAAGAGATACAAACCACTTCAAGAGATGTCAGCATCCTCAACTGTGAACTATCCACACAGACAACAGAGGCAGCTAGAGGAGCTCATGTACTGGGCATTGGGCAACCAAGAGGACATGGCAGGGGCCAGGGGGAGGACCACGAGGCGCTAAGCCATGCAATCTGCTTTCTTCCTTGATGTGATGAGCTGCCTGTGGCAAAGGAAGTGGATCATTTCAGGAGCCATGTGGGAAGTTACTTGGTGCTCAGCTTTCCCTGTCAGGTCACCTGGGCACCATCCCAGACACACGGCCTTCATCATTATCTTCAACCAACAGTAGTAGCTGCTGAGGCCACTTCATCCCCACCCTGGGTCCTCTTTACCTGCCCCAGCATCCCCAGACCATCTAATGTGTTTTTCAGATTTTTCTCACCAAAATAACACAATTCTTACATTCTTGGGGGCAGTTTCATCTTTTTCTCATTTCCACACTTTAAGATTTCACTGAAGGCCATTTAAATCCTTTAACCCTAATTATTTTTAAAAGGATTCTAGTTAGTTTGTATCCTATATAAGAAAGAAAAAAAGTCTTCCAACACCAAATGGATTTTTTTTTTTTAAGAGAAAAGGATCAGTTCTACCGGGTGGCCCTCACTGGCCACTTCATGGACTGGCTGTCATTTCTCATGATCCTCTTTTTACGATTCTACACACAAATTCAACCCAGGTGATTTGATTCTTAATGAAATGAATGTGAATTAATTCTGATCATAAATTTTAATGAGACAATACTTCAGAGGCTCCTAGATGTTCC